CACGTAGTAGGGAGCGTTGACGGTCTGTCCTTGGGGTAAAAACTCTTTGTGGACCACACCCTTGGCGTCGAAAAAGACGATGAGCATTGTTTTCACTTTGGATTTGCTCATCTTCGCCTTCTTCGGTTTCGGGGAAGCCGAGGCGTGCCATTCAGCACTCTGGCGCTTCGTTTCTGGGTCATACTCAAATGTCCACGTTTCATCACCGGTAATAACACAGTCTAAATAATGAGGTTCAATTTCCACACGTTCCTTCAATTCACTCGCGATCAACACTCGATTGGCCTTTTGCTTGTCTGTCAACAATCTGGGGACCAGCTTGGCGCACACCTTTCGCATGTTCAATTCGTCCATAACGATGCGATGCACAACGGTTTTTGCAATGTTAAGAGTGTCGGCTAACAACCGGACAGTCATTCGACGGTCAGTATTCAACAAATCACACACACGAGTCACATTTTCATGGGTTTGGCTTGTTGATGGCCGTCCAGAGCGGGGGTCATCTTCCACTCCTTCCTGGCCCTCCTTAAACTTCTTCACCCATCTTGTAACTTGCACATATGATAGAGCAGACTCCCCGTAGGCTTGCTTAAGCAGTTCGTGAGTTTCGGCAGCTTTTTTGTTGAGCTTTGTGCAGAACTTGACCACCCAATGTTGTTCAAAAGTGTCCGCCATTGCGCGCCATGACGTGGTCACAAAACACAGGTGCACTAAATCAGCAATACTGATGCCTCCGATGCTCGAGCAGACTGACCTTGGGCGCGCTGTGAAGCTAAAGGCCTCCCCCCACCAACCCAACTGGTTCCAGTGTACTCCGACCAGTAGGAGTGGGAGAAAAAAATATATTTCATGGCTTTTGGGACACACCTTGTACATCCACTCTCCTATATGCTTTCATGGTGAAGTGCTTAATTAGTTAAGCACAGGGGCAACTTTACCTTACCTTATTACTATAATCAAAATATTATCACATATCAGTATATCTCAAAGCTATCTTACTTCAGTTCTATCAGCACAGTATTCAATGTTTCCTACTATACAGGATGCAACTAAAAGGTGGATACAAACTTTGCGCACAAATTGCACATACCAAAGCAAGAAAATATGTCCATATCAACATGTGCCAGGAAACATTTAATCTGTAAATTCTAGCTGAAAGAATGCTGTGTAGACATCAGCAGCAGTTCAGCATTAATGTGAGAGCAGAGGCCGTTGGTTAACTGTTTGGTAGAAGCACATGTTTTGCCATACTGGCTTAGAGGCAACCACTACCCAGATTTCCTCTTATATGTATCTGCCAAAGATACTGGAAGATGTACCACTGGCAGTCAGAGCATGCATGTGGTACATGTGTGACGGTGTTCCAGCACATTTTAGCCCAGCTGTGTGAGGTGTTCTCAATAACACATATCATGACCAATGGATAGGTAGAGGAGGACCCACTGCATGGTCACAATGTTCACCAAATTTGAATCCCCTGAATCTCTGCCTGTGGTAAAAAAAAAGGTAAAGTTGTCCCTGTGCTCAACTAATTAACCATTACACCATCAATACATATGTGCGGAGTGGATGAATAGATCCACGTTTTCTTGACCTCAGCACTAGCTGGAGGTGAGCGGTCAGCTGCATTCCCTGCCGCTTTATCCCTGGGGAAAGAGCCCCTGGCACCCACTGGATAAGAGGCTGGGTGGGCCCCAGAGCTGGTCTGGATGACATGGAGAAGAGAAAATTCTTGACCCTACTGGGACTCAAACACAAACCCATTGGTTGTCCGGCTCAGAGCTAGTCACTATACCGACTATGCTATCCTTGTGGGGACACCTAAAAACCCTAGCATATGCGCAGCTCCAGTTAACAATGAAGAGAGTCTTAGCATCACACTGTGGATGCCTGCCAGACAATCCATAACGCCCTCACATCTCTGAACAGATGCTGCAGTCCATGATGAAGCGTGTCAAGGCATACATTGATCTCATGGAGTACATTTTGATCACTTATTACAAACACAGTCTTTCAGTTATAATTCACAAATTAAATGTTTCAGACACATGTTGATACAGACAATTTTTCTTGTTTTGGTCTGTGGAACTTGTGCACAAATTCTGTCCATACCTTTTGGTTTCAATCTGTATACATTTCAAAATAAACTTAAATTATCAGATACTATATGTACATCACTGATTTCTATTTACTTTGATTTCTCTTTAATTTATTCAACTCTCAGGTACAATTATATAACATGCACATATGTGTCCTAGGCAACACGACAAGAAATTGTGTATCTCAGATTTGGACGAATATGTTTATTGGACAATCACTCTTTACACTCACTAATACAATTATTTGCACTTATAACACCCTCAGACACTTCCTCTTCAAATGTTACACGTGCACTGCTAATCTCAGTGGAGCGTCTTGGCTCTTCCTTTTTCGAAGCTAGACTGACTCCTGCTCTAGTCGGATAAGAACTGACTTGGTCCTCTGAATTATTCTTTGCTTATATCCAACACGCGGACAGGATATGGGCCACCTTGTCGAAAGGTTCAGTTTCGCTGTTAGCTGGAATATTCTTTGCTGTGGGAATTCAACAATTCTGCCTCTGTTGGGTAGGCAGTTTCCTAGGCAGCATGCATTCTCATTGCCCGTTGCGCAGTGATGAATGTCCTATAGTCCAGCTTTCAGGCAGCACGTCACAATATATATACATCATATGCTTTAACCTTCTATTAGACAAATCTACATCACTTCATGAGAGCCATGAGAGTTCTCACATCTACATTTACATTTATTTTCATTTCATCAAGCCAATCCTTTCCCTGTAGGGCTGGATATAAAATATGTCACATATTACAAATTCATAACATATCATACATCTTAGGTCCAATACAGTAATGACACTCAAGCTTCTTAATATAAAAAATGTAAGGCAAAATGACAACATCTCATATAGTTAATTGGTGAATAGCTAACTGATGAGTCCCATAAAATGTAAGATCCATGTCTTTTGACAACATGAAGCATTTTAATTACTTCAGGCATCCTGAAGCATAGCCAGATGATTAACCAGATGTTCTGAAGAGAACTAATAACATTTTTTTTAATACATACTGAGTATTTGACACAAAACGGACTACACAGAAAACACCGCATCCAACAGTTCTACTGCTGCATGTGTATCAATTGTTGCAGGAATGTGTTTACTGCATTGTTGCCTAGCAACGATTATTCTGGCTTGTTGGGGAAGGGACACACATAACTAGGTGACATCACAAACCTACTTTCATTTTAAGGAAAGTAGGCTAAAAATTCAAGTAGCAGGAAACCTCAGTTCATTAAATAGTGATCACCATAAAAGATACATAATACAGACAAACTTTATAAATCATTAATATAAATCAATAATGACAGGGGACTACCACACTAGAAAGTTTATACTTATTACTACTAGACTGCAGAGTTCCCATCAGCTACTTACCAACAATCCAGTGGTGTTGATAATTAAGACTCATGCCTTTCTTAAGCAGAAGCAGTCTTTCCTCTGAATCTGTATCCTTTGGCTTGTATGACTTTTTGCATAGCTCAACACATGGCTCGTTGTGCAAGAACTCAATCTGCAAAGATACCAACAGAGGTGCACAATCTGAGAAGTCTTGTTCAGCAGTATGCTGAATATCATGCCTCTCAGAGTTACATATATTGTACAACTTAGTTCAAACTATATAGACCCAACATCGCACAGTAGCACTCAATCTTCATATGCCCAAAGTTCCACGTTTGAAGGGGGGGGGGGATGATCAACTTTCTTATCCTGGTTTTTGTGGTTCTCACTAAGCCCTTCACAAAATTCAAGAGAGCACTTCTAAATAGTCCACAAGCACTTCCTGTCATCTGTGCTCTTATTAGCAACAGCAACCAAAGAGCAGCTGTGTGGATGTTACTTGAATTACTCTTGCTGCCAGAAATATAACATACTTGAATATCAAAGTTGTAATTTTAACTCCAAGTTACTCTAGAATAGAGCATTATTTGCTATGAATTTCAAATTTTTCTGAGCTTCTCCACCGGAGATATGAGATGTTAAAAATGGCCGATTTGGTGCCCAGGGCAAAGTTTGAAAACTCCTGGAAAATTCTGGAAATTAGGTACAGGGTTCAACCTACGTGATCATATTCCCCATGTAGGAAACAACAAAGAGTAGAAACCACAGATCTGATACTTTCCCCTTCCCACTTGTTTTTGAAGGTGAAAAACAGCCTTTTTTCCAAAATCGACAGGTAAGTTTTGAGCTTAATTAGACCTAGAGGAAGAGAGTTGAGCGACACATTGTAATAATATGATTTATAGTCCATATCATGAGGAATAAATTGGTTTCTTATTGGAGTTTCTAGCTTCAATAGTTATCGAGATATAGAAGATAACGCAAACCTCCATTTGAGGCGAAAACGTGTTTTTTCGCATTATAAAAACGGTTCTACTGGAAGAACCGAGGAGACTACAATTTTTTTAAAAATATTTTTGGAGTGTGAAAATATGTAGAAATAAATGTACTTGGATTTTTTTTTTAAATGGTGAGCCACCTCTCTGGATGATTTCGCATGGAATGACCCTTACATTCGTCAAGAACGAGTTCTTGACTTCCATTAATTACTCTTACTTAGATGGTGAATTATTACAGCTATGAATGAACATGTAGAAAACGCAATATCAATATGAATCATATAGTGTACATTGATTTTGCTACAAAATAAATCTGTATGCCAACCCAAAAATGATGGAAATAACTCCTCTACAATAAATGTAATATTACTGTATTCGCACATAAAGATAAACTTCAACACCAAAAAGAGAATACCAGTTATAGCATGTCCCTTATTTTTCTTTCATATTATGTAGTTCTGGAGAATCAGTATACTTGAAATAGCTTCCTTTAACTTCGCTTAATATAAATAACATACTGTCATGACTATAGACAGGGTATGGATTGGATATTGGACTTACTGACGCAACTCAAACTAAGAGTATTTTCAGTGCTGTCACTGATCTCTGCACTTCACAAATCACTAACATACACTAAGTCTTCTCAGTCTTTACTAGACATATCCTGGCAATGGAATGCAACACAGTAATCATAACAGTCTCACTGTAACTACAGAAGACATAAAGTCTTCTTTTCACAGCTGTACTCTTGCAACTAACTCTTTCCTTCACAGCTGGACTTTCAACTCTCAACCAACTGCAGCACCATCTCTTCTCAGCTTCCCTTGCAGAGCTCACCTCTCGACAGCCAACACTCAACTAACTGTACTACCCCAGCTGTCTTCTTTATAACACCTTTGCATGGACCACATAGAAAACACTGTTTCTAACAATAACCCTATTGTTGATGTGTGTTTACCAATCAGCTGCCTAGAAACCAGTTGCGTTATCAGTGGTTCTGTTGCATATATGTTGTGGGCATTACCTCGAAACAGCCACTGCTTATAGTCACCACTTAGCAACATGTCTATATGCCACAGTACTTTTTACAATATGTGAGTGTTACCTTATAGTTGGAAGGCCGGATTCTCTCACCAAAGACAACCTGTCCTAGGTTCTCCACAGGTGATGTTTTTGTTTTATCATCAACTTTGCAAAAATCAAAACTGAAAGAAAATAAAACACCATCAGCAAACAATTTAAAGTGCCTCCTCACCGCCTTTTTACCTGACTAGGGGAAATGAAATGTTCTCCAGGAAGTGATCAAGAATAGCACATATTCCTGTACCATGGTTCAACTATGTAATTAAAATATAGAATGTGGTCTCTGGGTTGTGACTCTATGCAGTCCTGTAAGTGGATACCAATGTTCAGAGGAACATGCTGCCTCCATTCTCATGGTTTAATTGCATAGGGTGAGAAATTGGTGGGGTTACACAGGCAGGTTACAAGGAAGGATAGGAGTGGAGATGATGCACTCCAGTCTGAGCCAACAGTAACAGTAAACAGGAAAAGGCCCATTTCACAACCACATTGCTGTTGTTTACAAGCAATATTTCACACACAATATGTAGGTACAAGGTGGTTCAAATATGATTGGGACTGATTTTTTTTTAAAACCCATAATTGCCAAACACTTACTTGCACATGTCAGTCTTCAATGTACTCCCCTCCAGAGTCAACACGTTTTTTCCAACGTTCTGGAAGCATCCTGATGCCCTTAAAAAAAAAAGGCTTGCGGTTGGTGGCATATCCACTCCTGAACAGTCTGGATAGACTGGGAGAACTGGTATGCAGCCACTCGCGTGATGACTGTTGGGACTTGGGAATGAAGTAGTGCACCCACGTTTCATCGGTGGTCTCTATAGACCTCAAAAATGCATCGCCTTCGTCTTCAAACTGCTGCAGGAGATGACTGGCAGCTTGCATGTGCACCATTTTGTTCACGTCCATCAAAGTGCGTGCTACCCACCGTGCATTCACCTTGCAATAGTGCAGGTGGTATTTCATGATGGTTTCTACACTACCAACACTGATGGACAGCATTGCTCCAAGTTCCTTGATAGTGATTCGCCTATTCTCATGAATAAGCGCGTCTGCACGATTAACGTTTGGCTAGGTGACGGATGTTCATGCCCGACAATCATGCGGTTCATTCTACACACGCTCTCTGCCCTCTCTGAAGTACTTACGCCACTCAAACACACAGGTCCGTGACAGACACTCTTCCCCATACTGTTGTTGGAGTCTGTGGTGAATTTCAGCGGACAAGATGTTTTCTCTGAGGAATTTGATCACAATGCGTTGTTCCACGCTCTATAATACCGTCTGTTCGTTCATCACTCTAGCAACTCCCAGACAGGACTGAACAGGTTCTAACCCGAACAGGAGGGAGGGTGGAGATTGTGGCTACACTCTCTCAAGGTCGTACAGCTGCTGCGCAGTGCAGCTTGTTTACACACAAATCAGTCCCCGTCATATTTGAACCACCCTGTACAATTGTGGTATCTCTGTACCAAATTTCATGTGCCTAACTACAATGGTTCATTATTCATAACAATAAAACTGAAAGCTAGTGAAAATGTTTGCATGATAAGCAAATTCTTTCATGTTTTACAAAAAAGTCACCTTAACAAAAGTTGCACCTTTTTAATGACCTACTGTCACGCACCATACCTGTACCCTAAATTAAGCAGCACTACTGCCACTCCTTCAAGCACCTCCTCTTTGTGATTACAATTTTAAACACACACATACGCATGCGCATGCACCCAGAGTATGGCATAATCATAATCCTACCTCTTTCCACAACCCCCTGAAGCCTGTAACACAGACAAATTGAAGCTTATACTGGGGCAGGAATTAAACCTTAGAAAATGTCAGAACTTTACATGCACTACTTTTGAATTTTACAACATTTTGAAAGGCCGAGTGGCCGTGTGACACCATATGGGTACGCGCAGTCCACGCGTGGGCACAGTGTTTTAAAATCTAATTTTAAGATTGAAATTCTTGTTCCACTTAAGATTGTTTTTGGGCATCTGCTTTATAAGTAGACTGTCTTCCCTCCTGCGTCATCTAACTGAATGCAGAGTCCGACGTCGCAATTCATGCACTTTGTCCAGATGTAACTCCATTTCCCACACGAAGAGCACACACGACACCTCACTCTCGTATTAGAAGAAGTCAGCCAGTGATGTCAAGTGGCCTCCTCTAATCGTAATGCTTATAAAACATCGCAATTTCAACTATTCACCATGGCCTCATTTCGCATAGACAAAGCTAAAATTGATAGGCCGCTGATAAATGACACCAATTCAGAATGCGGTACAGACGACTCTGAAAGTGGCGTGGAAGCAAGTGGGAATCCAGGGCTATTCCAAGAACAGTACCTCTGTGTGGCTAGTCCGAGATATACACAGAGTTTCTGAAGGACAAAGTACGATAAGACTTCACCCACACTTGTGCATACAGAAAGGTTCCGACATGACTGGAGAATGTGCAATACAAACATAAACTTCCTCCCCTTTTGCCAGATAAGACACAGTAAGACAGGATGTCAGCAGCATGCATTTATACTGCAGAAACGTTTTGTGCAGAAACTGTATGCATATTTGTGGGCAGACGCTCGAAATTGGGGAAAAAAAAATTTTGGAATCAGTGTAACAATTTTTACAGACTTTAAAATCTGTAAATTACAATATCTGATTCTATATTCTTTCTAGATAAAAGCAGCATTTATTTCGTTCGCCTATCACAAAAATTGTAGAAATCACAGCATTTTCAGTAACATGCTTACAATTTTTAATACCCTACAATGGCGGACATTTAAATTAACTCTGGCCTGCTGCCATTATGGGAATTTAAATGGCCCGTCTCTTAAAGGTTAATTGTCTTTATATTATGATTCCGTCCTGCATCCTGGTGACACATCAACATATATTTGGTTTTCTGTTTACTTTTGAACCACCTTCCTTACTATTACAGCTTCTGGGTTTCTCTTCATGGTATTTATTCACCAATAAACTAACACCTCAAGCACCAACTGACAGATAAACTCAAGAGCACAGAATTTTAGGCATGTCAGTAAGAAGCACTGATTTGGCAACTTCTAGCAATCTGCCCAGCTTCTTTTAATGCTGATGCTCTTGATCTTAGAACTATAAGGATTAAGCCACAAAATAATGAGACATATTTTGGATGGACAGACAAACACTTTGTATGCGTACAAAAACTCACACATAAAATCTGAAGTAAAATTGATATCGAAGTTAGTCAAAATGTTGCTGATTACCAACAGTCACATTACAGTGCAGTTGCATTTTATGCTAGGGATGCATCTCTGAAGATCTCACATAATTCAAGTCAAGTTCTCTCACAAATAAATTTGCATTATTTGAAGCTTAGAACATAAAGTGAGATTTTATTAATAATTTTGTCACACCATTTCATATTCACATAAAATGCAACCACACTGTACCTACAACATGACTGTATATCATTTAAACTTTGTTAACTTACATTCCTACATATGTTCTCTAATCCACAAATACTTACTATTCATATTCATAAGGTATGATAGACTCTTCTGTGTTTAATCGATTCACATATAGCGTGACATCTTTCTGCAAAAAGAAAGTTTAACATAAAGGCAGAGAAGCAAGAAAATCAATGCTGTGCTTGGCAGCAAACTTGCACTGTGTACACAAATTCTGTGTGCCATGTTGGCTAAAATATTCATGACAACACCCACAATTTTCTTCCTATTACTATTAGTATATCACCCATCAAGGATGATCTTTTGTATCTTCTGCCCTCCTTTCTAGCTCATTGTTTTCCTCTCCCTTTATCTCTTCATACATAGTTTCCATTTCTTGAACTCTCCTGTCCCAGTGTAGACGGCATGGGGAACAGATGATCAGTCATCAGAATTCCCATACAGTCCATTCTGGGACAGGGCTTCACTATCAGAATCACCCACCATTCACCCACACAGTCTGGGCTGTCACATATCGCAGCTTTATATACACATATAGGGGTTCAACAAAAATAATGGAAACACTACAGATACTATAGACATTTCTTTATTAATGTGGCACTGGACCACCTTCTGCCTTTAGTACAGCTGCAATCCTTCTTGGAATTGTCTCATACAACTTTTGAAGAGTCTCTAGCAGAATTTTATACCATTCTTCTTTAAGAACATCTTCAAGTTGCTTTACAGATGTTGGAGGTGGGAATCTGTTCCTCACTCTTGTCTCCAGAACTGACCAGAGCGATTCAATGACATTCAAATCCGGTGATTGTGCTGGTCAAGGAAGAGTTGAAGTTCACCTTCATACTCTTCAAACCATGACTGCACAGTTCCAACCGTGTGAATGGGAGCACTGGCGTCTTCTGAAGTAACATCTGGATCATGGGATGCACCTGATTACCCAACTTCTCAACATACTCCTTTGCAGTAATTCAACCATCAAGGGTAATAATGGGACCAACAGAATACTGTACATGACACTGTTGTCAAAACCATCATAGAACCTCCCCCATGTTTCACTGCTGGAATCAGGCATTCAGGGTTGTCGGGTGTTCCCCAAGCGTAAACTCTTCCTGATGGTGGGAACAGCCTGAAGGATGACTCATCTGACCATTTCACAGGCATGTTTCCAGCTGTGTGATATCCAGATTTCATGGTCGTGACACCATCATGTAAGCAACTGAACATTATGTTCAGTAATCAATGGTTTAGCAACTGCAGCCCTGCCATAAATATTGAACTTGTGAAGCTCACACCAGACAGTTTATGTGGAAACTGAATCTTCAAGATGAATATTGATTTCTGCTGTCGCCTATGCTGCAGTAGTTGTCATTTTTCAAAACAATCCTCAATGTACGATGATCTCTTTCTGTCAATGTTGATTTTCGCCCACTGCTTCTTTTTTCTGATGCTGTGTTTCCATGATTCATGTATGCCAACATAACCTTACAAACTGTTACCCTCAATACATCTAATGATGTGGTAGTTTTTGCCACAGACGCTCTAGCTAAATGTGCACCAACGATCTGTCCTCTTTCAAAGTCGGACAAGTCTCCCATTTTCCAATTCTTTCACACAGACCGTCACTCAACACACCCACTAATGCACTTACACAAGCACTACAGAGTGTAAACAAATGGCTGAAGACCATTTAGCACTAACTGAAAATCTTTTGATGCCACCAACACAAACAAATTCTCTCGATTCCTTTGTGTTTCCATTATTTTGTCCCCCCCCCCTGTATATAGCATGCAAATGCAACCATCATCACATCAACCCCTGATCACATCAATGGCTAAGCAACTGGGAAGACTTCACTGTGTACTTCTCACATAAAAGCTTCAAATCATACACAGTACCAATCTAAATTACCAGTCTCTATTTCTAGCTAAACACTGTAGCATAGCAATTTTTAGTCCTGTCTCTAATACAGCAGAAACCCAATTTGATTTCCAGCCAAAAATGACTATCCTGAATAAAGACATTTTGTGGATTTTCACATCACAGCTAGGCAATATTACAAAGCAGACTTCAAAATCTCACAATTATTTCCTTTCCAGTCTTAATACGTATAAATGTTCTTAAATTATACAAGAAACAACAGACTGCATTTAGTACACATGGACATGTACTACATATCCCAAATTCTGATCAGCAAAATGTAGTTCAAATCTTCACGATATACTCGTACACAACAAATGGAGCAAAGGTATAATAACTAAACCTACATACCTGTTTGACACTGGTCTAAATGAATACAAAATATTTCAATCTGGTACCTAATTGTTTACAATTATTATAACAGTACATCTAACCTGGCTTCTGCAATTATAAAGCAGGATTTTGATGGCAGCAACAATAACGGAAAAGATTCTGTTAAAGGTAAAATTGTGCCTTTATGTAAACTTCACGCATTCTTAATTTTTGATCTGGGGGGAGAGGAATATTCTGCTTCATGCTTCGGCCACTGTACCCCTATGAAAAGAAACCAGAATACTGTATTGGCCTAAAGGTGGGTACAGTCATGTTGGAAACTGGACACCTAAATTGCGATTACAGATATTAACGGAAATTTGAACAATGAAGTTCAACAACTGGGAAATCACCACAAACAAGGCACCTTGATGGAAAAACCAACACCATGAAAATGTCACGATGCAAGAGTTGGTTTTAAAAAAAACCTTCATCCAGCTTAACAAAAATTAACAGTCAACAGTGTCACACTACCTTACAAGTTTTGGTTCCAGCTCCATCTTTCTCTTTGCAATAATTAATTGGTGCCAAACCCAGTATATAAAAGCCATTTGAAGACGAAATGATTACCAAAGTGCATAAAATTAAACACTCCATCAAAATCATATTGCTAAATTATGTTTAAAGATATACTGCCTGTCCGTTTTCAATATGACAAATATGTTATTTTTGTTACTTCCACGTGGATCGAATGATAAGTGAGAATCAGTGTTCACTCTACTCCTGCTTTATTAAGACACTGAGATTTGACACAGAAGTACGCCTTATATACATACAGGCTTATAACCATAGTAACACTTAACAATATAAAGATACTGTTGTTACACACGTAACTGTGGTTACACATAACAGTAAACATCACTTAGGTAACAAGACATAACCTAGTCCTTAAATTGTTTACTATGATGTTGCCAACTCTAACATTATATTTCAGTATTTGAGAGTTGCCAACATAACACTCCCCCTTAAACAATTTGGGAGTTTTTATTTTAAATACTTATTCCTTGATCTGAGAATTCCTGTGTACAATACCTACATCCTTTGTAGTGTCTAGGCATTCCAGAAGTCTCTTTAACAACTCAACTTCAACATTGCCGTTGTGAAATATGAAGAAGTCTTCAACATACAATTCTATATATTAATTATAGAATTACCCTTTTGTTTGGTATAAATATATGGTTCGGAAAAAGTTTGCCTGTACCCTAGGCCTTTTAGAACCTCTGTTGCTTTCTTATTCCACGACCTAGCGGCTTGCTTCAGTCCGTAAACTGATTTTCTTAATTTGCAAACTTTATTAGACTCCCCCTTAATGTCATATCCTTCAGGAAGCTCCATATATTTAACTTCTTCAAGATCTCTGTTTAAAAATGCGGTACAGACATCAAGGTGGTCAATGTTCCAATCATGCTTTGCAGCTAAAGCAAATAACAATCGCATTGAAGAATGTTTCACCACAGGAGCGGAAGTTTCAAAATAGTCCATTCCTGCTGTTTGGCTACAACCTTTCGCCACCAAACGTGCTCTGTGACATGCGACATTTCCATCAGCATCTCGTTTAATTTTGAAGACCCATTTTGATTTCATTATTGGCTTATTTGACGGTCTATCCACTATTGTCCATGTTTCATTTGTTTGGAAAGCTTCTAGCTCCTGTTTAATAGCTTCTTTCCATTTAGATTTATCGGAGCTTGACAGTGCCTCTTCATATGTGACTGGTTCTGACTCATCTTTATGCACGGCTGAGTAGTAGGTAACAATATGGAAATTCTTTCTGTTTCTT